ATTCTCACTATTCCACCAGACATTGTTAAATTTGGCGGTGAGTGATTTAGACTGTCTCTATTCCTTCTAGCTAGGACTGTGGGTTAGCTATAAAACTGATAGTCAATTCTCACTATTCCACCAGACATTGTTAAATTTGGCTGTGAGTGATTTTTACTGTCTCTCTTCCTTCTAGCTAGGACTGTGGGTGATCTATAAAACTGATAGTCAATTCTCACTATTCCACCAGACATTGTTAAATTTGGCGGTGAGTGATTTAGACTGTCTCTCTTCCGTCTGGCTAGGACTGTGGGTGAGCTATAAAACTGATAGTCAATTCTCACTATTCCACCAGACATTGTTAAATTTGGCTGTGAGTGATTTAGACTGTATTTCTTCCTTTTAGCTAGGACTGTGGGTGAGCTATAAAACTGATAGTCAATTCTCACTATTCCACCAGACATTGTTAAATTTGGCTGTGAGTGATTTTTTACTGTCCTTCTAGCGTATCAACGTAAATTAGTAATGACTGTGTGCATAGGGACCTTATGTAGCTTTCTAGAAATTCTGAGACAAACAAATCTACCACGAAATGTAAATTAAACCACACACACACACACACAAATAAAATTAAAATTAAAGCGAAAAACATGTCAGTCAGAAAAACACTAGCATTTAAAAATATCCCGCGTCTGAATTTTAAATTAACTGGTTTATAAAAACTGAGCGAAAAAGAAACCAACATATGGAAGTAAGTACAAGTTTGACAATACAAGTAAACAATATTTTGGTACAAAGTCGAGAAAGCTTTACACAAAGTAACTCTTAGTACGTTTAGTGCGTAATTAGTAAATATTTGATGTAGCATCTGAATTTATCATCCTACAAGTTCGAAAATGTAAACCTAAAGTCTCATTAATTATCGTTTCGAAGTTACTGGAATGGATGCAGAAATTGAATTAATCGCAAGTGATGTAACATACGCATCTCGTTCAATCAAATTAGTGCCGCCTTCTACCTCTACGTATGCGCTTTACATGCGACATGAAGGGAAGTCAAAAGAAGATGGAAAAAGAAATATCAACTCATTTTGAGATGCGAACACTGGTAAAAGAAAAGAAATAATCAAAATAAAAACACGCTCTTTAAACTTGAAGTAAAAGACAGTAAAAAATGACTTTGAATGTAATCAACTCAATTTATCACTTACACAAGTTAAATGCAAACAATTTTGCTAACATAGTCATAATAGGAAATATGTCAGTATTAGCGGTGTTTTTGTGCTAATTGTAATCTTTGTTCAAAAAACTTAATACAAAGGAACGTATAGGTAAAAATATCTGATCTAACAAAGGATATTTAAAGTCTTGCGTGCTAATTATAAATTTCGATTTTATTTCCATAGTGATATTGTTTTTACATCCTTTAACAACTTTAAAAGTTTCTTTTATTTCTGAAACAAAAATTCTGATAAACTGGATATATTAAATTTGGTAACCTACAATAAAATTAGAAAACAAAGAGGTTTACTGGAAAATAACAGATATTTTCAATTCTAATATATGTATATTCAAGAAATTACATTTCTATTGATGTATCATTATTAATGTCTGGACATAGAATGAAAATATAAAAATAAAAATAAACCCATACTGAACACAGCTAATTTGCTGACATTATTTACAATGACCAGAATACAATAATAATTCAATCCTCATAAGTTCCCGGCATGGCCAGGTGGTTAGGGCGCTCGACTCGTAACCTGAAGGTCACGGGTTCGAATCCCCGTCACACCAAACATGCTCACCCTTTCAGCCATGGGGGCGTTATAATGTGATGGTCAATCCTACTATTCGTTGGTAAAAGAGTAGTCCAAGAGATGATGGTGGCTGGTGATGCCTTCCCTCTTGTCTTACACTGCTAAATTAGGGACGGCTAGCACGTGTAGCTTTGCGCGAAATTCAAACCAAACCAATCCTGATAAATGAAGAAAATACTATATCAAAATAATAATAATTTTGAAAAACAAACGAAATTTCCATCTAATGCTTTCAGAAATTTATCCTTCAAATCTGATTTTTATTTCATCTGAAGAAAA